TATGTGAAAATTATAGCGTTTACAAATGGCGGTATAAATACTGGATTTTTTTTTCTTTTACTAGTAATGGTGGCAATCAGCAACTTATAGCGGGACTACAGCGGGCATTCTGAAACTGGGGGGGAACTGATTTGGTGTCACTGACATCCCCAGTGACACCAATACAGTGATCAGTGCTAATAAAAAGCACTGGCACTGTACTAATGGCACTGGGAAGGAAGGGGTTAACATGTGGGGCAATCAAAGGGTTAACTGGGTGCTGTTTTACTATGGGGGCTGTGTCTGTGTTTCACTGTAAGCACACTGCTTTGTATGACTCTGAGTAGCAGAGCCATACAAAGCAGTGTGCAGGGGAGCTGACGGGGGAGAGATCTGTATTGTTTACATACAGGTCTCTCCCCTGCCTGAGATATTCAGCGATCACAAGCCAGGACTCAATGACTGGTGGCGCGGGTAGGGCTCTTGCTCACACCCTTTACCCGGAACTGAAAAATCACGTGTGTGTGTGTGTGTGTGTGTGTGTGTGTGTGTGTGTGTGTGTGTGTGTGTGTGTGTGTGTGTGTGTGTGTGTGTGTGTGTGTGTGTGTGTGTGTGTGTGTGTGTGTGTGTGTGTGTGTGTGTGTGTGTGTGTGTGTGTGTGTGTGTGTGTGTGATTTTGCGCACCCCTGCCACCCTGTAGCAGTATTTCTTCTATAGGGTGGAGGGGACACGGTTAATTTTTTTTAACAGCATGTTAACTGTATTTCTTCAGAAAAGAGCACAGCAGTTCAAAATTAAATAAAACTGGGAACGAATCACTTTACATTGACTTTAAAGGTTTATTGGAAAACAGTATAATTTTTTGGAAGGAGGCTGAGCGTTAAAAGGATACTTAAAATATAGGAATTCCAAGACACAGTCACTGTCCCTTTAAACCTGAACTCCAGCCAAACATAAAAACATCCATTAATGCAGCTATGTAAAAAAAATGCAGTGTATTTTAAATGCATGAAATGTATGTACCTAAATTTGACATGATATCAGCTTCACCCTGAGCCACAGCATTCTGACCAGGAAAAGTAAACCAGCATAAGAAGTCACTCAGGTATGCTGCAATGTACATGTGCCAATAGGGAATAAACTGGCAAGAGGAAAGAGGGAGATGATGGATGAGGTTGTCAGCCTGCTGCTGCATTTTATTGTAAACTTTTTTGCATGCCTTTGTATGCTTGGTAATTCTGTGAATATTTAATAATATAAAGGAACTATACAATCTTTTACAGGATAACGTTACTTTTGAAAAAAATGTATAGCATTTACAATAATTAGGCAAGACATACATTACTGTAATTTAAAATTATTAAAGATGACCTTTTTTTAATCTTCAGCACTGCAATTTTCTGTAAAATTCAATGCACTGCAATATGGCAACCTGGAGGTATTCTTTTCAACAGTCTTTTCCTGCTTGTGTGATGGACTCACTATTTTATCCAGAAGTCTGCAATAAGAAAGAAGTCAAGTTAAGCAAACCCCTGCAATAGAAATGTAAGTTACTCCCCAAGGGTTAAATACCTTTAACGGGATGCAGAGACTGCATCTTTCCTCATCAGAACACTGAAAGGGCACCAGGAGATTAAAATTAACAAAGCCCTCTCATTCAGAACCAGTTTGCAAAGAACCCGGTGAAACAAACAACTATTTCTTCAGAGCTGAAAAAGGTAAGAATCTGCAGCAAAATGTGTTTACATCTTTGCAGTCAGCATAGATCGATCAGAGAGGATAATTTTTTTCTCTGAAAAAGTGGATGTACACCTTAAGTATATGTTGCACTTATAATTTAATTTGATATTTCTTATAATATGGAATAGAGGAGGCTTACCAAAATATTTTGACTCCTTATAAGTACAGTAAGTCATACAGGACTTTTTCCACTACATTCTCAATCTGCGATGACTCCCAGGAACATTCCTTATACTGTATCCTCAAGTGGATGATTTTAACCCCTCGCCACTTCTTTGCCTCCACTTCACTTTATAAAAATAGGGAGCTAAAGCAGTGGAGAGGGGTTAAAATCACAAACTTGAGGATATAAGGGGTGTTACTAGATGACATACCACAGATGGAGATTGTATTTGAAAAAGCCTTGTATGACTTACTTAGTATTGAGGAGTCAAAATGTTTTGGTAAGCGTCCACTAGTCACCTAAGGGCTATTGATTTAAAGTTGTGGATCACACAAGAGGACATTTTTGGAAAAGAAGATTGCTTTGGGATTAGAGGAAAAAATTGTTTGTGATTGTTATTGTTGATCACTTTTTATATTCACTGTAGTGTTTGTTGGTTTTTAACCTCCCTGGCGGTAATTATTTCAGATTTTTGGTGCTGAAAGCTGTACCATTATTTTGCATGGAAATATGTAGTTTTTTTTATTGTAGGCTGTAATTTTTAGGAATAACTCTGAAATCATGCTTTCACATCTGAAAGCATGAGGTTTTCTTGGACTGGCTGCTACGTAAGTCTTAATGCTAAAATGTTATCTGTCCCTATGGTATAATTAAAAATACTGCACTATGGGAGGATTCCTTTGTCTCATTTGAGAGATTGATACTACAACTTTTCCTGGAGAAGAGCCAGAGTGGGAATACTAAATTCTGAGAAAACTGCCTTTGGAGTGATTTGGTGCTTGGAGGATCCGTGAGAGGGATCCACTACTGCTCTTTGACCCGCAAGGGTCGAAGGGATGAGGTGAGAGGCTAATCCAGATGGTGGTTGGATTCTCAGATTTGTACACACTCAGAAATCTGCACGAGTTTCACCTATGGTCACTAACAGTATTATTTGGAAGCACCGTTTACTGTTTTGTCACCAATAATATTTTTTGGACTTTGAGATACATTTACGTTTGTACCATTATTATGGTTTTTTCACTTCACAACAGGCACGTGTGATTACATCATATATATGTGTAGTTTTGTTTTATGCATATATATATGGATATGGTTCTTTCATATGTTTTTTCACATGTTTGGAGTTATCTATTATATTTGTGTTGATGGTATTATTGATGAGCACCTATTAATATTTATTGTTAACACTGTCACATTTATTTAATTTATATGATATTTTGGGATCCCACATTCACATATTTTTATGATTTGAATGTAGCGCTACATTCCTTATTACTTTTATCTATTATAATCACTGGTATATGATTTAATGTTAGCAGCTCCCTTTGGGATTTATACACATATTTATTTTTCAGTTTAAAACACTTGGGAGCGCAGGAGGTTCACACCATTATTATGATAAAATTTGAAACACAAAATCATAAATTATAATTTAATAAATAATCATAAAAAATAATAATATAATAATAATACATTTAATTCAATAATATAATCAAACCGAAAACACTGAAATTTGAAATAGAGCGCCAAGTTCGCACATCACTGAGCAAAGTCACAAAATCGTTTTCAGTGTCTGATGACGAATTTCCCCACAAATCATTATCACTCAATTCTGCAAGTGGTTCTGATTTACTATCACTGTTCTCTAGCTGGTCTAAAACCACTTTTGACCTAAAGGCACACTTTTTGGACGCCATGGACTTTTCTAAGTTTCCAGGCAGAAAGAACAGTAAAAATGCAGGAAGGGCACAGGACAAAGCACTAGGGACAATATGTATGTGAAATGGGTTGAAACAGCAATGTTTTACTATGAAAAATTTGTTTTGAAAAAAATGACATTTTTTAAAATTTTCAAATTTCCCGCCGCTGGCGGTGGCGCCCGTACGTCCTGACATCACAGGGACCGGAACACAGAAGCTGGATGCCGGCATCGGCCGGAGGAGATGGCCGTGGACGCTGCAGGGGACACATCGTGGGAGCGAAGGACAAGGTAAGTGCTGCAGGGACTCCCTATGCAGCGCCGCATGGTAAGCCCGAGTGTAGCTCGGGGTTACCGCTTTTGGTACTGAAACTTTACCCCGAGCTACACTCGGGATTACCGCCAGGGAGGTTAAAGTTTAGAAACACAGGGGAGTGTTAGCTGGGTCTTTTTAGGATACAGCTAAGCACAGAGCAATCAGTTGATATGTATACTAAAATTGCTTACAAAATTGAATCTGATGGTCATTAAGAAGATGGGTGAGAATCAGTAAGTCTGTGGTGCACCCAATCTAGGGTTGAACTTTCAATCCAGCGTTTATATAGAGTGCCCAGGACCTGACATAAAGCCATGCCTGCCCCTGCAGATCATTTTTGTCTCATCATTGTAATGGAAGACCTTAATATTAAAGCTGTAGATGCCTGTTAGTGTATATCATTGACATTAAGTTACCTCTTAAACTAACAAAGAGAAACCTTCTTCTTTAAAGCAGCTTTAAAAAAGCTTTCTTCTTTAAACAGACAGACAGTGGTCAGATAAATGTGACCAAATGGAGCAAGGAAATCAGACTATGGTGGCATTTTTCATTATTAAAGGAATCTCAGACATTCCAGAGCTGAAGGCTCCAATATTCCTTTTGGTTCTTCTTATTTATATCCTCACTATTGGTGGGAACATGACCATTCTTTTGCTGGTCTGCCTTGATCACCATCTCCACACTCCAATGTATTTTTTCTTGGCAAATCTATCGATAATCGATATGTGCTCTACAACTGTCACTCTACACAATATCCTTCTCATAGGTGTAACTGGGAATCACGATATTTCATATCTCAGCTGCATTGCTCAGATCTATTTCTTTGGATGTTTCATTAGTGATGAACTATTGTTTCTTACTGCCATGGGCTATGACCGATATGTTGCCATCTGTAATCCCTTGAGATACACAGTTATCATGAATCACAAAACTGCACTCTTCTGGCTTCTGTCTGTTGGGCTCTTGGTTTTGTAGAAATTATCCCGTATGCTGTTTTGATGACTGATTTTTCCTGTTACAGATCAAACATAGTAAATCACTTCTTCTGTGACCTGGCACAAGTCATAAAACTTTCTTGCAGCAACACTTCTGTCCTGGAGACTTTGTTCATAATTGAAGGGGCAGTCTTGATGGCTCTTGTACCTTTCTTGTTAACTGTTCTATCCTACATTTTTATTATCACCACCATACTAAGGATTCGTTCCAGCATAGGAAGACGTAAAGCTTTCTACACATGTTCCTCACACCTTACAGTTGTCATCCTTCTCCATACTACCTTAGTCTTTCAGTACTTGAGGCCCATTTCAGCAGACAGTCTAGAGTACAATAAGCTGCTCTCCCTGTTTAACACAGCTGCTGTCCCCATTTTAAACCCTCTCATCTACAGCCTCAAAAATAAAGATGTAAAGTCAGCTTTAAGAAAAAAATTACAGCATTTCAGAACTAAAAAATAACTATGAAACAGTTACATTCTTAATTATTTGTCTGTTCATTTTGTGGAAGCTGGTAACAGCAAAAATAAAGACTACTAGCTTGAAATAAAAGTGTGCAGATGTTAAAGTGTATGCTACCCTAAATATTTTTTTTTTGTTTGTGTTCACATATGTGTATATTATAAATCATAGTCTTTATCATTTACATGTACTTTTTCTACCTGAAGTACTTGTTGGATTCTGCCAGTCACCTTTCTTCCTTGTAAACTGACCACACAAAGCACAGAAGATGATATGTGTTAGTGTGGTTAGTTTGCATTGTCTGGCTGACCATTTAGAGGTACAGTACACTGTGCAGACACACAACATGCCTGTATTGGATAGGTTGTTCAGTCATGCCACAGCCGACCCCCGCCAACCAATCACAGTCTTCCTGTCAGGAATTACCAGCAGAGATGGCCAGATCTGCATGGCTGCACTCAGAAAACTGGGACTAGACTGTAAATGCTTTAAGTGAGATTTATTTACTGTGAGACACAATCCAAGTAAACACCAGTACACAGCAAACAAAAAAATATAAGTGAACCAACAATCTAGTGATCTGGCTAATAACTAACAAACAGAATGTCAATCTAACAACTAACTATACACAATATATACAGTATAAAATGGAGAACACCAAAAAGGAAGGGGAAATTAGAGGTGCAGGGAGGAGATGGGAAGGGGCAAACAAAACTGGGAACAAAAACAAGGAGGAGGAGGTACAAGACAGCAAGGTACAGGACAGGAGCAAGAGCAGGATCTAGGCAAAAAGAATCTGCCAGCAGCAAAACACTGGATAGAGAGGCACTCAGTAGGAAAGGACCTAAATACCCTCCCAGCAGCCAGCATCAGGTGGAAACAGATTACTGGGGTCTGCTGTCTTCTAGTGAACACCTCTGCCCAGGGAACCACAGTGCTACCTGGAGGTGATCCAGGTCCTGACACTTCCTCTAGCAAACACCCCCTCCCAATTACAGCCTGCCTCTTGAGCATGCCCCCTGCTTAAGCACAGCCTGCAGTTTACCCCAGGCTGAACAGACTATGAAATGCAGTCACATTATGTGTCTGCACAGTGTTCTGTAACCCTGCCCCCCCTCCTTCAGGAAGAAAAAATGCATGGTCACATGACAGAACTTTTTATCTTGTACGCAAAAAGTATGAAAAATCATCTCTGAAACTAAGCAAAAGCAGTTATGGTGTTTGCATAGTTATAATTGTACTAGAAAGTGTCTATAACATTGTATGTTCACAACTACATTAAAGCTGAAATTTGCTACACTTATATTTTGCCTTCCCTTGTTCCTTTCTCCACACTCATTAACATGCTAATTAAATGTTTAAAATCTTTATACTTTTATCACATGCTTTATTTTAGATCCACTGACATCATCAGTGACATCTGTGCTTCTCAATGCAAGGCAGGCAGATCATTGCTGCTGGGAAAGGCTGGGAGTGCAGGGTGATGTACATAGCTTTCTGAAAACATCACAATACCCTGCCTTAATACTCCTTTCCAGAGTCCCCAGCCCTGATGCAAACAGTCAGCTGACTCCTAGGAGGAGTTGTGCGAATGCCTGGTCTAGGCAACGCCCACATGTGAAAGACTCAATCAACTAAAATCTAATAAATTAAAGGAGTGGGGCAGGCACTAGATGATGCTGGATGTTGTCCAGCCCAGAAGTCTATGGGGCTCTGCACCTGCACCTGCATGGATGTCAAATTGGGACGACGGCTGTGTCTGTTCCACCGCTGCATCCCAATTGACTTGGGACTGCCTGCATGGGGATGCATGGACTACCTGTGCATCCCTGAGTGGGTAAACATGGCCCTTGCATGGGTGTGTGTTATAGTACAACCTGTATGAACTAGGCCTAAAAGTGCATTCCCAGTGGCTCAGGATAATATACTAGATTTGTCTGACCTCTAACCATATGGCCAAACAGTGCCTGTAATGGTACTGGTTCACTTCAATAATCCACAAATATGTAAAGAAAATTATTTTCATTTCTTTAATTTTCTTGTCCTTATTTGGGTATTTAAACACAGGTTCACTAGGGTGTTACTTTAATTAATTAATGAATATCAACGTATAAATAAAAAAAATCACCAATTAAGTGACAAGTGCACTTTAGATTTCACTTTGTGAAAGAGCTGAAATAGTACTTGTAATAAAATGTTCCGGATAGGTGGATGATGCAGAGCCAATTGATTAAGCTTCATTGCGTGTAATGGTTAGCTGATTTAAATTAGATTTAAACCCTATCACTAAAATCTCATAAATGCAGCAGCATATTCATTTCAAATTTCAAAAGTTTCCAAGCCTTTTAAATGTACAACTTTCAATAAAATTCCACCCAGTGATCCTGCTATTAAGGTCCTTGTTCAGACACCTCCTGTTTTGGAGACAACACTATCAATTGTGCTTGTGCATTGTCACCCTGTTACATACTGCCCTTGACAGAGAGTAAAGGTTCTGGACACCTCCTGTTTTGGAGACGTGCTTGTGCATGTCACCCTGTTACATACTGCCCACGAGAGTAAAAGCGGCCATGTCAACACACGTTGAACAGACATGGCCCACCATTATTGCTATCAGGAGACCAGTTATTTAGCAGCATTGCTATATAAAAATGAATACAAAATAGGGTGAAAAAAATATTTTCTAAAAAAAAAAAGTTTACATGCTTTTTTTATCATAGACAAGCTTTTTTTTTTACTTCTACTGGCTCAGAAAATTGTGGAACACTATAAGGGAGATTTACTAAAACTGGAGCACACAGAATCTGGTTCTACTGTGCCAATTATCCAATCAGCTTCCAACTTTAGTTTGTTCAACTAGGCTTTAACAATAAAACCTAGAAACTGATTGGTTACTATGCCCAGTAGCACCAGCTTCTGTGTGTTCCAGTATTAGTAAATCCCCCCTATGTTTTCTTTTAAAGAGTTTATAGAGAAAAAAAAAATTGGAAATTTAGGAATGTTATGTTTTGTTAATTCTGTTAAAGACCCAGCTCTAGTTTTAAAAAATCCATCCTTACAGTGGGTCCTCCCATGTCTAAGGGATTGCAGAAAAGGCTATTTTACAAGCCTTTTTCCTCATTCTGGCCAGCTCCAGTGTTCTCCCCCTCTACCAGAAGCTCCAGTCTGTGGGCAGAGTATTGTTTTCATTATATACAATGCAGGGTCATTGACACTGAATGGTACTTTTAAGAGGCTGGAGTGTGACCAGAGCCAGTTGTAGCTTACACAGCAGCTGTGATTGAACGGCGGCATTGATGGAGCCTGCTAGAGTATGGAATAAGGTACGTATTTGCAACTTCTTTCCCCTAGACTAAATGTGCAAGTGACCCTCTCAGTGTGGGGGTGGGCACTGCAAAGGTGGACTTTTACATTTTCCTGGAGTTGGGATTTAATATTTGGTGATAGATTTAACCTCTCTAATTTCTCACACATATTTTATGATTAAAGTAGAATTTATGCCTAGCACTACCTCTGCTGCCAAAACTATGTAAAAAAATGGTATACTTATCTATTTTCAGTGTGCTCCAGTCCAGTCACATGATTCACAGCTATGAGCACCAACAATGGGTGGGACATCAAAGTCTATGAGTGATTTATGATTTATGGCCATTGGCTGTCATCCAGCTAGTTTTGCTGTCAGGATCAGTTGTGTGGCCCGGGTCAATTGTTGTTTGGGTGGGCAGCATCATGATTGATGATGGATTTGCAGTGAATGACCTTTTTTGAGTTCATTTTTTGGGAGATTTTAATTTTTCTTTTTTTTTAGTGAAGGACTTGTCAGACATACCCTAGGGCACCTGTTATTTTGCTGTTACCTATCAAGGATTTAGCTGGGTAGGGTAGCCAGTCTAGGCACAGCCCTATTGTTATCGAGCACATTTTGGATTGTCAGCAGTATCCTGCCTCAATAAGAATTTTACTTGTTCAGTGGAAAATGTCCGGGTCTTAAAAGACTCAGTTTACAAGAAACTGGAGATGCTGTAAAATTTAATTTTTCCTTCGGAGGGCTCTGCTATACAGCCTGCAGTGGAAGCAATGGGTGTTTGCTAAAGTCTACAGGATTTCGGTAAAAAAAGAACCCATCGTATATGGAGACAGACACTAGTGAGGGGTTAACAGAGTTGCCCCAGGCCTTGTGTTTTTAGGGTAGATGTCCTGAAGGATATTATCCAGCAAATTTCTTGCATTGCTCTGATGTCTGTTCACATGCTTATGATTCTGTGGTTGAAAAGCTGGTCTGCTGAATTGCTCAGTAAAAAGATGTTAGCAGGTTTATCCTTTCATGGGGACTTGGATAAGTATATCCAAAATATATCTAGTGAAAAGAGCTCCCTTTTGCCACTAAACAAAAACAGCAAGTATCAGGCCTATAGAGGTTTGGCCGCTCCAGCTTCTGGATCCTCTTCATCTGGGCAGTTCTTTTGGTGCTCACAGGTGAGCAGGTCCAGGAGGAAATCGCAGAGTCAATGGCAGAGGAGTCCTTGGTCAGCCAAGTCAACTAAATCATATTCCAAGTCCTTTTGTCACGTACCTTGGTTGAAGGCCAAATTGACAAGAAGGCTTCCCTTGCGGCTCTAGTACTAGCACCCAGAGGTACAAAGCTCAATGAAGCACGGGTGCTGATAGCTTGATAGCAGGTTACTGCCATGATCAGAGATGTAGTCAAGGTGAGCCAGGGTCATACACAGTGAGACAGAAGCATGGTCAGAAGGCAGGCCAGGGTCAGTACCAGGTTAGCAAGCAGAGCGAGGTCCAGTAGCAAACCAAGGTCAGCACCAGGGGATCAGGCAGAGAATAGCAAGAGGCAAGCCAAGGTCAGCACCAGGAGAT